CGGCCATGACTGCCGACCGCCGGCAGACAGCAAAGACCACCGGAAGAGATCAGAAAACCTGCTCTGATACCATGTTAAATATAGTGAAAATTATATATAGGATTAATCTCCCTTATGTTAAACACACATAGGGTTCTCTATTTATAATAGAAGAAATATGGGTTAAGCCCAAAATACAAATAAGAAATAATAACAAACTAACTGAAAGATAAAAGATAAAGATAAAAGATATAATATTTCTAACAGTATGTATAAACAGGTGTACAAATTGCTAAGCAATATACAAGAAAAATAATCTAAACAGATATATGAAGTGGAAAACAGAGAACATGAATACTCAATCAGATGGATGATATTGATATGATTTAATGATGTTAAAGGTGTTATACAAATTTAACCTAATAATTCCATTTATACTAATGAGTACAAGTACTACTAGTACAAGACCAATAAAATAAACTTCTTGGCAGATACAGCTTCACGAGTTAGCTTTGAAAACCACAGAAAATCACGGAATACAAGCTATGGAGCCATTTAATACTAAACAGGTAACTCTGAAAATTAATTTAATGAACTCACCTTCCATCCATAAATTCAGAAGCTATCAACCCAAAACGATCCACAAACTCTGAGTAAGTTCTTCGAGTGGGATAACCTGCCAGACTTATCCGAACAGCCTCAAGGACACCCTAAATAAAATAGAGATATGCCAAAAAAGACTTTATAATGGGTGGTAAATCTGGAAGTAAAGCACGTGAAGCCGAGCCATCTTATTTCAAACAATTTTTTAATCAAGTCCACTATTTCTTTAACACACATGTAGTTAGAAAAATGACAAACTATAATAAGTTATACCTTACCATCAACAACCCAAAGAGTCCCATAATAAGTTACACCCTATTGTGTACTGCAGTAAGAAATTGGCTAACAAACCAATTTTCACCACATTGATTAGATAACACCCAAGATAACAGTTTACAAATAGACATGTTGGCAACCTGTATCTCTTTCAACAGCTTGAATTAAAGGGTTTAGAACATCTAAAATACTAACCCCACAGCGTAACTGGTGTATGACACTTGCATTTTCAAATTGTTGTGGTCGATTCGAAGAATTTGGTTTCACACATCGTATGTAGTGAGGCTCTGTTGAGTTTAGGGTCTTCATGAGTGCTTGAAGTTGTTGCTGAGAACACAGACACGTAACCAGGCCCCAAAAAAGATCAAAGACACGAAATTGATTACCAAATATATACATTTAGTCACCTGAACAAATTGGTATTATTATGCTCTCCCTAGCTCCAAAAAATACAAGTTAGAAGATGGAAATCTACGCACCTTAAATCTAGCAGCTACAGAAGAAAACTTGTATGATGATCTTGAAGATTCTTCAGATAGCAAAGGAAATAGACCAGAAACGAAAGGGCATTTTGAAGAAGATAAGAGATTGCAATGTTCTACTACAACATAATCCCGATTTTTGTCTAAAAATGTATCTGTATGATACGTGACCTACATAAAAACAGTAGACGATCTCCTTAAACATTGGAAATGTCACTTGTGTCTGAATCAGGAGAAAGTCCAGTAACTAGTACTCACCTTTCCAGCATAATGAGAAATAGTAAAATCGGTTTGTGAAAACTTTTCCTTTCCCAACCTAGGGTGAGATCGGAAATGCTGAAACAACTTGGTTGAGAATGTTTCATGAGTCGACTTTGGAAACATACTGCAATACGAAGCAATTCAGGATGCATGATGAAATTACATAAATAAATATATACCAATTCATATTGAAGAACTCAAACTGTACCAAGCTTCATCCAACAGAGCAATGATACCAATGGGTTTCTGCAAAAGAATGCAGTAATGAATCCACAAGAAACTGAAACTAAAGGCAAACATATCAAGTGAAATCAAGAGAAAGCAATGTATATATCAATAATATGCATACATTAGCATTGCACCACCACATGAAACTATATTACTTTATTTTGACATAATCATGATTATCTGTACCCTATATAACATAGTCTTAGCGTATTGATTTGACAAAAAAGGTCTTGAGAGACCCAAACATGAGACCTAGAGGGCATAGGATCAGACAAAATGGTTTATATTTTGACAAATTTCTGAATAGCTGAGTAGCATCCTTCCTAATATAGATTTTCTTACAATTTCCATATCTCTAACCTCGTGTATTTCATAATTTCTCATATACCATTATTATTGATTTCTATGCTACACATTATGCATGAAACCAGTAATCATGTATGAAAATGTGTAACAATACTAAACAGCAATGTCAATACATAGACTAAAGAAGTATTTGCATCTAAAAAGACAATAAAAATATTAAAAGATCCAATACAAACCTTTTCAATTAAATCTAAAACATCTTTGTTATCTACAAATTCAATGTAACTCCAGTTAATTTCTTCTTTGCCATACTCATCCTGTTCCATCTTGAACACATGCTGGAAATAATGACAAGACAGTAAGCAAAAAGAGAAGGAAAAACAACAAGATTCAAACTAAGACAACAAAACATTTCATAAATTTAGTGAATGCTAATTAAAATACAGTAATATATGGATACCTCATTAAAATGTTGCTGAAGCTTTTCGTTTGCAAAATTGATGCAAAATTGCTCAAAACTGTTGGAGGTGAATGTTATTGACATGAGAAAAACAATCATATAGAAAAGATCACTAAATCAACAAAAATTGAAGCAAGCAAATGAAATCAAATCAAATAATGGGAATACAAAGAAAAATAATCCATGCATACCTTTTATTGAAATGTAATGTTATTTTATTATTATTTCTTTTGTACATACCCAGTTTCAGGGTGAGGGTTTAAGGTAAGTGTCTTGCCTCCTTTTGTAACTATACATATACATATACATATACAAATATACAAATATATATACACACACATGAAAAAATTATTTATCTTAGTTCGCATCCTTGGAGTTATGGTTCCTAGCCCATTTCAAATGAAGAAAAACCTTAATTGCAGAAACTAAACTTCCAATTTTGTGTTGTTTTATGGCAATCAATAGAACAAGATGTTTTAGAAATTATAAGATCGTATAAGACATGTTCTTCGTTTTTGAAAAACACGCAAGATATTTTTGTCAATGTCATTCAACATCTCTTTAATGCAACTCACACAGTAGCCTCTCTCACTACATTTTCTCAATAAAGATGATTGCACAATTGATTGTCTTACCCCTTATCATAATGCATGGGAAGTTCATGATCAAATGTGACTTGTTTGGCTTCAATCTACTCATTCTTAATCAATTCTCTCATGTTCTCGGATGGACTCACATGTGAAGTTCGGGAGAAAATTCACAAATATTGTGGTCTTCAAATTAAGTCAATTGTGTACATATAACATTCCACAATCCATATATACACACAAAAAACGAAAAGAGGTCTTACAAATGACAAACAATTGAAAGCCAACATACCTATTATCCTTAAAGCACTCAAAACCATAAATATCCAAAACTCCAATCTGTATCTTGGAATTGATGTCTTGCCCAACAGACATATTGATCTTATCAACAAGCCTGTTAAAACAGGATAAACAAAAAGAATTTGTCACTCTAAACAAGGCATAATAAAAACTACATCCCAATTTTGCATTCACCACATGTCTACCAATCAAATAAACGAGCGTAAACAGTTTTCGCCAAAGCATCACGGCCAGCAACAGCAGCATTGCAATCAAGGGCCTTGACAATACTTCCTTCAAGAGTTTGTATTGAACGAGTACACAATGTTGCCAACAGTAGGTCTACATCACACCTATTAAAAGAAAAGCAGAAATGAATAGAAAAATGAAAACTTTGTATTTTCGTATCAAAAGATGGAAGTGTTAAAGTATCATTGTTATTTGGCATCCTAACTATGTCGGTACACCAACTAACAACAACCATTTGCAGCACCCTAAGCAATTTCAGAGAGTTTCGATGTGATGAGCTCTTGTTTACATTGACTATTTACAAACTACAAAAGCTCATCTAATTGACAAAATCATGTATAACAAGACAATCAGAGTTGTAACTATCTGAACAATAGAAATCAACAGATAATAATAGTTGTAACAAAGTAATAGATTACATGTGGCAAGTTTGTTAGTGTACTTGTTGCGGGTTGTTAATTTTCATCTAGTCATTGTATTGTTGTACTGTGCGTTTATTCTTTGTAGTATAAATATATACATGTACACATTTTTTAAGTGAGTTCAGTTTAATAAAATCACTTCAGTCAAACATGTCCTTTATCTCTCTACTTCGTCGAGTTTTCCCACAGCTATTGCTGAAAAATTATGATAGAATAAAATCAACTGTTACATATTTCTAGAGAATTAGATGTTACATTCTGTCAGGATTTGTGTTTTATTGTTTCTTTATTTAGCATATTATAATTACAGTATATGATGGAGATATCCCTGAATCATAGGGATCTGGTTGTCTAGGAGCTATTATTATACTTCCTAAAATAGCTTTCTAGCCTTGTATATATAGATAGTATTCTTAGCATAATAAGATGAATCATTCTACCCTTAAATTATAGCTTTACATAATATGGGAAATTAATTAGGATGATTGATTCCTAATTATTAGGTGTATTTATTATAATTGATTTTTGTATTATGCTATAAATACATGTTGTGTGGTCTGCATTAGACACACAATTCATTCAGAACATATAAAATTCTATATGGTATAAGAGCAGGTTCTTTGAGTTTCTTCCATCATTGTCTTTGCCACCCGCTGTAAAATTTTTGTCTTTTAACACTTGTGTCTAAGTACCTTAGTTCTGCTCTCCTAATTTTAGTTCTCTATCGCACCTCTTTCACTGTTGTCCACAGGCTGTTGCCTTCATTAACCACTCCAACCCGGCCGACCATGCTCCACCCGACCGGCCATGGCCATGCTCCATCTCAGTAGATCGTGCTCCATCTCAGTAGATCGTGCTCCAATCTGGCCAACCATGCTCCCACCCGGCAGACCGTGCTCCAACCCAACCGTACAATTGAATACATTTGTAACAAGTTTGGTACATATGACATATATGTTGATGGGGAGTGTTAGAATAAAATCAATTCTTACAGATTTCTAGAAAATTAGACGTTACATAATCTAGAAAATTAGGATGATTGATTACTAATTACATGTAGTTATTATAATTGATTTTGTATTACACTATAAATACATGATGTGTGGTCTGCAATAGACACACAGTTCATTCAGAACAAATACAATTCTATAAATTAGATGATACAAATTACCTTCACTAGATGCAGAATGTTGAACCAGTGATTAAATCTCACAAACTTCAACGATTTGTCGTAAATCCTATTATTCCTTCTAAGTATCTAACTGAACATGATAGAACTCTTGACAATGTTAATCCTAATTATGAAGCATGGGAGGTTTAGGATCAGATCTTGTTTGGCTTCAATCTACACTCTCAAAGTCTGTCATGTCACGTGTGCTTGGCACAACACATTCTTATGAAGCTGGAACCAAATTCATGAATATTTTGGATTGCAAACCAAGTCTCGTGCACAACAATTGCACACTGCAATACGCGCTGTCAAACTATAATCCAAGGCTAGATAAGAATATCTACTTAAAAATAAAGGTTATGTTGATGAACTTGGTGTTGGAATGCCTGTTAGACACAAGGAACAAGTTGATGCTCTACTCGGAGGTTTACCATCAAATTATGGTCCTGTTGTTTCCATGATTGAAAGCAAAAAATGTCCTCCTTCCATTGCTGAAATTGAGGCTTTATTATATAGACATGAAACTCATCAAAATCGTTATGATCTTGTCTCCCCTTCATTGAATTATACACAGGCTTCATTTGGTCGTGGTCGTGGAGTTCCAGATCCACTTTCGGATCATCTTTTCATGGTGGTAATTTTGGTAGAGGCTACGGTGGCAAATTTACCAATTTTTAGTGCCAAATTTGTCTTAAATTTGGCCATACTGCTATTGTTTATCATTTTAGAGTTGATGTCTCTTATCAACCTCATGATTCTCTTTGCTTCATTGATCCAGCCACGCAACAATCCATTCCATACTCCACTAGCTCACAGAGGACTTTTAACACATGGATAAATCTGAAGTCTGGTAGTACTGGAAACAATCAAACTAGTATTATGATTACAAAGACTACTTCAGGGGGCAATAGGCAATGATTAGGCAAAGATTACCAGACTCTGGGGCAAGCTTTCATGTTATTGGTGAATCTCAGAATATCAAACAGTTTCAGCAATTTGATAGTCCCCATCAAATATTCATAGGCAATGGTTCAAGTTTCAATATTTGTGTTGTTGGTTCCTCTTTTTTTCCTCACCTTATAATCCTACCATTCTTTTGAAGTTAAACAAATTATTACATGTTCCTTCCATTACTAAAAACATGTTAATATGGAGAACAGCTAGATTATCACATATAAGTGTCATGTGAGTGACATCTCAAAATTTCAATTCACCAAGTAATTGTTTAAGCCACACAAGCTCGCAAGTAGTCGATGTCATAGCTCTATATTTTGCTTCTGCACTGGACCTTGCCACAACACTTTGCTTCTTACTTTTCCAAGATATCAGGTTGCCACCAATAGAGACAAGATATCCAGAAGTAGACCTCCTATTAGAAGGGGAACCAGCCCAATCAGCATTTGAATAGCAAACGATTTTTGTATTGTTGTTAGGACCATATAACAAACCTTTTCCAGGTGATCCTTTAATATACTTTCAGTATGCGAACAACTGCATCCCAATGGTCTTCACATGGGAAGTTTAGGAATTGACTCACCATGCTAATTGCAAAGGAAATGTCAGGACACGTAACAGTAAGATAGTTTAATTTACCAACTAATCTTCTGTACCGTTCAGGATCTGAGAAAGGCTCCCCTGATTTGGTAGGAGTTTGATGTTAGGTTCCATAGGTGTCTCAACAGATTTAGAGTTCATTAACCTTCTTTCCTCCAAGATGTCTAACGCATACTTCCTCTTAGATATAACAATATCAGTGTTGGATTGTGCTACTTCAATACCCAAAAAGTATCGGAGTTTGCCAAGATCTTTGGTTTGAAAATGGTGACAAAGGTGTTGTTTCATCTAAGAGATGCCAAGATAGTCGCTTCCTATGAGAACAATGTCATCGACATACACTATTAAGTAGATACATCCGGCACTTGAGTGGCGATAGAACACTAAATGATCCGCTTCACTGCGAGACATACCAAATTGTTGAACAACACAGCTGAATTTACCAAACCAGGCCCGAGGAGACTGTTTTAGACCATATAAGGATTTGCGAAGACGACATACCAATTCAGATAACTCCCCCTGAGCAACAAAGCCAGTCAGTTGCTCCATATAAATTTCTTCATGCAAATCACCATTAAGGAACGCATTTTTTACATCAAGTTGGTATAGAGGCCATTGTCGAAGAGCGGCCATGGCAATGAATAGGCGAACAGAGGTCATTTTTGCCACTGGAGAAAAAGTATCACCATAATCCAAACCAAAAATCTGTGTAGCCTTTGGCAGCCAGTCGAGCTTTCAGACGATCAATTGTACCATCAGGGCCAACCTTGATAGCATACACCCACTTGCAACCAACAACAGACTTTCAAGATGGTAATTGGACAAGCTCCCAAGTTCCACTTTTCTGTAAAGCACTTAATTTATCCAACATGGCTTGACGCCATCCAGGATGAGTTAAGACATCACCCACAGACTTGGGAATTGACACAGAAGAAATGGATGAGAGACATGCGTAAAAAGATGGAGATAATATGTTGTAACTAAGAACAGTATAATGGGAGGAAGGGTTACGGGTAGAGCGTATACATTTATGGAGGGCAATGGGCAGGTCAGACTCCTTTGCTGGAGCCGGAGGAGACACAGGAGGCGGAACTGGAAGTGAGTCATGAGGGAGACGATTGCGGCGACTATAAACCTGAAGGGGTGGTGGTGAAGGACGATCCTGTGGTGAATGAGAGTCTAAAAAAGGAGGAGGCAAAATGGATGGAGCATCACGAGGAGGATCACAGAAAATAGGAATATCAATAGTAGCAGNCATGATCAAATGTGACTTGTTTGGCTTCAATCTACTCATTCTTAATCAATTCTCTCATGTTCTCGGATGGACTCACATGTGAAGTTCGGGAGAAAATTCACAAATATTGTGGTCTTCAAATTAAGTCAATTGTGTACATATAACATTCCACAATCCATATATACACACAAAAAACGAAAAGAGGTCTTACAAATGACAAACAATTGAAAGCCAACATACCTATTATCCTTAAAGCACTCAAAACCATAAATATCCAAAACTCCAATCTGTATCTTGGAATTGATGTCTTGCCCAACAGACATATTGATCTTATCAACAAGCCTGTTAAAACAGGATAAACAAAAAGAATTTGTCACTCTAAACAAGGCATAATAAAAACTACATCCCAATTTTGCATTCACCACATGTCTACCAATCAAATAAACGAGCGTAAACAGTTTTCGCCAAAGCATCACGGCCAGCAACAGCAGCATTGCAATCAAGGGCCTTGACAATACTTCCTTCAAGAGTTTGTATTGAACGAGTACACAATGTTGCCAACAGTAGGTCTACATCACACCTATTAAAAGAAAAGCAGAAATGAATAGAAAAATGAAAACTTTGTATTTTCGTATCAAAAGATGGAAGTGTTAAAGTATCATTGATATTTGGCATCCTAACTATGTCGGTACACCAACTAACAACAACCATTTGCAGCACCCCAAGCAATTACAGAGAGTTTCGATGTGATGAGCTCTTGTTTACATTGACTATTTACAAACTACAAAAGCTCATCTAATTGACAAAATCATGTATAACAAGACAATCAGAGTTGTAACTATCTGAACAATAGAAATCAACAGATAATAATAGTTGTAACAAAGTAATAGATTACATGTGGCAAGTTTGTTAGTGTACTTGTTGCGGGTTGTTAATTTTCATCTAGTCATTGTATTGTTGTACTGTGCGTTTATTCTTTGTAGTATAAATATATACATGTACACATTTTTTAAGTGAGTTCAGTTTAATAAAATCACTTCAGTCAAACATGTCCTTTATCTCTCTACTTCGTCGAGTTTTCCCACAGCTATTGCTGAAAAATTATGATAGAATAAAATCAACTGTTACAAATTTCTAGAGAATTAGATGTTACATTCTGTCAGGATTTGTGTTTTATTGTTTCTTTATTTAGCATATTATAATTACAGTATATGATGGAGATATCCCTGAATCATAGGGATCTGGTTGTCTAGGAGCTATTATTATACTTCCTAAAATAGCTTTCTAGCCTTGTATATATAGATAGTATTCTTAGCATAATAAGATGAATCATTCTACCCTTAAATTATAGCTTTACATAATATGGGAAATTAATTAGGATGATTGATTCCTAATTATTAGGTGTATTTATTATAATTGATTTTTGTATTATGCTATAAATACATGTTGTGTGGTCTGCATTAGACACACAATTCATTCAGAACATATAAAATTCTATATGGTATAAGAGCAGGTTCTTTGAGTTTCTTCCATCATTGTCTTTGCCACCCGCTGTAAAATTTTTGTCTTTTAACACTTGTGTCTAAGTACCTTAGTTCTGCTCTCCTAATTTTAGTTCTCTATCGCACCTCTTTCACTGTTGTCCACAGGCTGTTGCCTTCATTAACCACTCCAACCCGGCCGACCATGCTCCACCCGACCGGCCATGGCCATGCTCCATCTCAGTAGATCGTGCTCCATCTCAGTAGATCGTGCTCCAATCTGGCCAACCATGCTCCCACCCGGCAGACCGTGCTCCAACCCAACCGTACAATTGAATACATTTGTAACAAGTTTGGTACATATGACATATATGTTGATGGGGAGTGTTAGAATAAAATCAATTCTTACAGATTTCTAGAAAATTAGACGTTACATAATCTAGAAAATTAGGATGATTGATTACTAATTACATGTAGTTATTATAATTGATTTTGTATTACACTATAAATACATGATGTGTGGTCTGCAATAGACACACAGTTCATTCAGAACAAATACAATTCTATAAATTAGATGATACAAATTACCTTCACTAGATGCAGAATGTTGAACCAGTGATTAAATCTCACAAACTTCAACGATTTGTCGTAAATCCTATTATTCCTTCTAAGTATCTAACTGAACATGATAGAACTCTTGACAATGTTAATCCTAATTATGAAGCATGGGAGGTTTAGGATCAGATCTTGTTTGGCTTCAATCTACACTCTCAAAGTCTGTCATGTCACGTGTGCTTGGCACAACACATTCTTATGAAGCTGGAACCAAATTCATGAATATTTTGGATTGCAAACCAAGTCTCGTGCACAACAATTGCACACTGCAATACGCGCTGTCAAACTATAATCCAAGGCTAGATAAGAATATCTACTTAAAAATAAAGGTTATGTTGATGAACTTGGTGTTGGAATGCCTGTTAGACACAAGGAACAAGTTGATGCTCTACTCGGAGGTTTACCATCAAATTATGGTCCTGTTGTTTCCATGATTGAAAGCAAAAAATGTCCTCCTTCCATTGCTGAAATTGAGGCTTTATTATATAGACATGAAACTCATCAAAATCGTTATGATCTTGTCTCCCCTTCATTGAATTATACACAGGCTTCATTTGGTCGTGGTCGTGGAGTTCCAGATCCACTTTCGGATCATCTTTTCATGGTGGTAATTTTGGTAGAGGCTACGGTGGCAAATTTACCAATTTTTAGTGCCAAATTTGTCTTAAATTTGGCCATACTGCTATTGTTTATCATTTTAGAGTTGATGTCTCTTATCAACCTCATGATTCTCTTTGCTTCATTGATCCAGCCACGCAACAATCCATTCCATACTCCACTAGCTCACAGAGGACTTTTAACACATGGATAAATCTGAAGTCTGGTAGTACTGGAAACAATCAAACTAGTATTATGATTACAAAGACTACTTCAGGGGGCAATAGGCAATGATTAGGCAAAGATTACCAGACTCTGGGGCAAGCTTTCATGTTATTGGTGAATCTCAGAATATCAAACAGTTTCAGCAATTTGATAGTCCCCATCAAATATTCATAGGCAATGGTTCAAGTTTCAATATTTGTGTTGTTGGTTCCTCTTTTTTTCCTCACCTTATAATCCTACCATTCTTTTGAAGTTAAACAAATTATTACATGTTCCTTCCATTACTAAAAACATGTTAATATGGAGAACAGCTAGATTATCACATATAAGTGTCATGTGAGTGACATCTCAAAATTTCAATTCACCAAGTAATTGTTTAAGCCACACAAGCTCGCAAGTAGTCGATGTCATAGCTCTATATTTTGCTTCTGCACTGGACCTTGCCACAACACTTTGCTTCTTACTTTTCCAAGATATCAGGTTGCCACCAATAGAGACAAGATATCCAGAAGTAGACCTCCTATTAGAAGGGGAACCAGCCCAATCAGCATTTGAATAGCAAACGATTTTTGTATTGTTGTTAGGACCATATAACAAACCTTTTCCAGGTGATCCTTTAATATACTTTCAGTATGCGAACAACTGCATCCCAATGGTCTTCACATGGGAAGTTTAGGAATTGACTCACCATGCTAATTGCAAAGGAAATGTCAGGACACGTAACAGTAAGATAGTTTAATTTACCAACTAATCTTCTGTACCGTTCAGGATCTGAGAAAGGCTCCCCTGATTTGGTAGGAGTTTGATGTTAGGATCCATAGGTGTCTCAACAGATTTAGAGTTCATTAACCTTCTTTCCTCCAAGATGTCTAACGCATACTTCCTCTTAGATATAACAATATCAGTGTTGGATTGTGCTACTTCAATACCCAAAAAGTATCGGAGTTTGCCAAGATCTTTGGTTTGAAAATGGTGACAAAGGTGTTGTTTCATCTAAGAGATGCCAAGATAGTCGCTTCCTATGAGAACAATGTCATCGACATACACTATTAAGTAGATACATCCGGCACTTGAGTGGCGATAGAACACTAAATGATCCGCTTCACTGCGAGACATACCAAATTGTTGAACAACACAGCTGAATTTACCAAACCAGGCCCGAGGAGACTGTTTTAGACCATATAAGGATTTGCGAAGACGACATACCAATTCAGATAACTCCCCCTGAGCAACAAAGCCAGTCAGTTGCTCCATATAAATTTCTTCATGCAAATCACCATTAAGGAACGCATTTTTTACATCAAGTTGGTATAGAGGCCATTGTCGAAGAGCGGCCATGGCAATGAATAGGCGAACAGAGGTCATTTTTGCCACTGGAGAAAAAGTATCACCATAATCCAAACCAAAAATCTGTGTAGCCTTTGGCAGCCAGTCGAGCTTTCAGACGATCAATTGTACCATCAGGGCCAACCTTGATAGCATACACCCACTTGCAACCAACAACAGACTTTCAAGATGGTAATTGGACAAGCTCCCAAGTTCCACTTTTCTGTAAAGCACTTAATTTATCCAACATGGCTTGACGCCATCCAGGATGAGTTAAGACATCACCCACAGACTTGGGAATTGACACAGAAGAAATGGATGAGAGACATGCGTAAAAAGATGGAGATAATATGTTGTAACTAAGAACAGTATAATGGGAGGAAGGGTTACGGGTAGAGCGTATACATTTATGGAGGGCAATGGGCAGGTCAGACTCCTTTGCTGGAGCCGGAGGAGACACAGGAGGCGGAACTGGAAGTGAGTCATGAGGGAGACGATTGCGGCGACTATAAACCTGAAGGGGTGGTGGTGAAGGACGATCCTGTGGTGAATGAGAGTCTAAAAAAGGAGGAGGCAAAATGGATGGAGCATCACGAGGAGGATCACAGAAAATAGGAATATCAATAGTAGCAGATGAAGGTACAAAACTAGAAGATAGATGTGAAAAGTAAAAAGAAGATTCATCAAAAGTGACATCAGCAGAGATAAAATGACGATTGAGGGAAGGGGAAAAACACTTATAGCCCTTTTGTGACCCTGGAAATCCTAAGAAGACACATTTGTGAGATCTAGGAGATAACTTATCAAGACCAGGACTAAAATCATGAACAAAACATGTAGACCCAAAAACTCTAAGAGGTAATGGATGTAAAGGGTCTTGAGGAAATAAGATAGAATGAGGGATTTTGTTATCTAGGACAGAAGATGGCATGCGGTTTATAAGATAACATGCAGTGAGAACTGCATCACCCCAAAAACGCGGTACTTGACCATGAATTAGAAGTGTACGAGTTGTTTCAATAAGGTGTCTATTCTTGTACTCAACCACCCCATTTTGTTGAGGGGCATAAGCACATGAGCTCTGGTGAAAAATGCCATGAGAAGCCATAAAATGTTTAAACGGTTGAGAAATCTATTCACGGCCATTATCACTGCGTAAAGTTCTAATAGAAACCCCAAACTGTGTTTTTATTTCATTGAAAAATGATTGGAAAATAGTAAACAACTCAAAATGATTCTTCATTAAAAACAACCAAGTACGTCTGGAATAGTCATCAATAAAGGTAACAAAATACTGAAAACCTAAAGTGGACTTAACACGACTAGGTCCACAAATATCATAATGAACCAATGAAAAGGGGGACAACGCTCGTTGTGAGACACTACGAGAAAAGGAACTACGAGTATGCTTTCCTAACTGACAAGACTCACACGACAAACTTGATAATTTCAACAAACTCGGAACAAGTTGTTGCAGTTTGGCAAGACTAGGATGACCTAACTGAGCATGAAGAAGGGATGTTGACTCCATGATTACGCCAACATGTGGAGAAGGGCAGAGATGATATAGGCCATGAGACTCACATCCTGTGTCAATCATGTGTTTCGAACTCCGGTCCTGCAACCAAACAGAATCTTTGGTAAATGAAATAACACAATTAAGGGCACGAGTTAGACGACTTATGTACAATAAGTTGAAGGGAGACCTAGGGACATAAAGTACATGATCAATGGATATGGATGGAAAAATATGAGCAGTACCAACACCATGAGATGAGACTCTAGACCATTGTTACCAAGGGTAAATTATCCAGACATGACAAGGAAGAAAACAAGGACTTGTTACCAGTGATATGATCGGTGGCGCTTGAGTCAAGGACCCAAGGTCCGAGGGAGTGAAAGTGAGTCAGACCAACAAAAGGTGTACCTGTACGTGCAACAGATGCAAATATAGTGGAACTAGAGTGCTAACGATCTTCATACCATCTGAGAGATTCGTGAAAGATTGCAGGGTTTTCTACGGTATTAGATGAAGTAGGATGGTCTGCAGACGGTGATCGGGGAGGTGGATCAGAATTAGCCATTGTTACAGGTCAAGGAGGACGTCCATGAAGCGCATAACATCTATCAATTTTGTGGCCTAACTTGCCACAGTGGTCACATTTTGGACGTCCTTTACCTGGCTTGCGAGACCAACTTCGATCATCACGTTGGGCAGCCATAACTGAGGAATCATCAGTATGAGGAGATGTCTCAGTGACTGGTTTGCTCAGTATACGCAAAAGAGCATAACAAGTAGAAGTAAAGTTGGGTATGACAGGAGAACCCAAAATCTGATCACGGACATGAGAGAAATCATCAGAGAGTATGTAGAATGTCAACAACATGAAGAACTTTGATCGTTGTTCCAGTTCTTCATCATGAGTGGAAGCAGGAGGTAATAGCTCATTAAAATCATGAAGGAGGGCATGAACTTTACCCAAATATTCTGCCATGAGACCAGGACTGCACGGACCAATAACAATGAATAGGTCCTGACAAACACCATAAAGACGCCGAGTGTCATTTGTGTATAACAACTTCGCTTGTGCCCATACTTCTGAACATGTTTCATATGATCGAAACATTTGTTTCAGTGAGGAGTGAATGGTGGACTTTATAACAATGCATAACTGGGCATCAATTTTCATCCAGCGGAAAGTGTCATCTGTGGCAGCAGTAGCCACATTTTGAGTAATGTGATCTACGTACCCCTGACTCTTCAACCAAAGTTTGATGTCTGACGCCCATGTTGCATAATTTGTGCCATTTAACTTGTCAATGGACAAGTGTACATTCACATAATTGGTGCATATTGAGGGATCAGATGATGAGCCACCAACAGAGGTGTTTGTAGACGAGAAAGACGCCATGGAGAGGGAGAAACCCTAAAAATCCAAAGTGCTCTGATTGACGCAACGACCACAAATCCAGAAAGAGGGTGAGGAGGCGATCACGACGGTCCTGGACGACAGCGGAAATCTCCGGCGACGCGCCGGCACATGCGGTGGGAAGCGCCAGCGACTATTGCGGCGGCACGTGGCGGCGCGTGGGTGGTCTGTTCGCCGCGATCTTTGCACCACGGTGGTCGCCCGGCCGAGACGATTCCGAAGGTGTTGTCGTCAGTCAATTCTAGATCTCCAGCGACGGCAGCGGCAGCAGCGGCGACGGTAGTGGCGGCGACAGCGGTGGTGATTTGTGTCAGAGACCGATGAGCTGGAACTAATCTTAAGCTCTAAATACCATGTGAATAATGGAGAAGATTGGGAGAAATCTCCCTTGTGTGTTTTGCATACACATAGGATAGTTTATTTATAATGTAAGATATGGGCCAAGGTCCTTAATATAGAATGGGCTGAGCCCAATTAACATAAACGCACATCTTAACATCTATCAGGTCTTGAAGTCAAATATTATTCTAATTCATCTCTTATCATGACTCAAACCAAATACATCAGAGATTTACTTCACAAAACCAATATGATTGAAGCTCATCCTATTTCTTCACCAATGGTTAAGTTTCCAAACATGGAGCTGATTTATTTTCTGATCCAACATTATAGAGGTCAATTGTGGGTGCTCTTCAGTATGTAACTATAACTCCTCCTGAAATTAGCAACTCTGTGAACAAGATCTGCCAATTCATGGGCTCTCCTCTTGAGTCTCACTGGACTATTATGAAGCATATTTTGCGGTATCTTAAGGGTACCATCTTCCATGGTCTCCATTTTTTCAAGCTGCTCCTTTCCTCTCAAAGCCTATTGTGATGTTGATTGAGGTTATGATGTTGATGATAGGAGGTCTACATCTGGTGCAGCTATTTTCTTTGGTCCCAATCTCATTTCTTGGTGGTCTAGAAAGCAACAAGTTGTTGTTTGCTCCAGTATGGAGGTTGAGTACAGAAGTCTAGCTCAAACTTCTGCAATTGGATTTCTGCACTTCTTACAGAATTACTAATGACGTTTTCTACTCCTATTATGTTATGTGATAATCAAAGTGCAGTCTCTGTTGCTCATAATCCAGTCTTTCACATCAGTACAAAGCATATGGAGATTGATGTGTTTTTTGTAAGAGACATCATGGCTAAGCACATGCAAATGCACCATATTCCTACGTGCTTTGATGTTTTGATCAATGGGTAGAAGTTTTAACCAAACCTCTTTCTTCTACTCAGTTTGCTTTCCTACGTGCCAAACTCAATGTGAAGAATTTCTCTCTTGATAATTCTTTCCCTTGAGTTTGAAGGGGGCTGTTAATGTACTCTTACGGGTTGTTAATGTACATCTTGTAACTGTACCGCTGTACTGTGCGTTTAAGCTTTGTAGTATAAATATATACATATACACATTCTTTCAGTGAGTTCAATTTAATAAAATCACTCCTGCCAAACATGTGTCTTATCTCTCTCTTTCTCTCCCCTCCATGTTCTATCAAAGTTGTTATTCTCTCACAACACCTAGCAAAGTGAAAAAAATTAAGCCATTCAGTTCAGAAATGAAAATAAAAAAAACTACAATATGGGGCCAGTTTACTTAGTTAAGAATAAAATAAGACTTGCTTATTTAAGTATGCAGAAAACTGCTTGTATTTAAAAGACTACATAAACAAACAAAAAAAAAGCAGAAATTTGTTTATTTTATTAAATAGCACTTATTTAAAAAATAAAAAATAAAGCACAAACAATCCAGCCAATTATGACCATCAATTACATATTAAAAGAGAAACAGAAATAATCCAATTTATTTGGTATGACTGCTGACAGTGACAAATATAAGCTAACTGACTTAAGGAAATCAACTGGTAATGACAGCTCTAACAAACTAACAGAATAAAACAGATAAAGGAGTTACTCACTCATAACACATAGCAAAGTAAAAAAAGTTAAGCCATTCAGCTAGAAATGCCAAAAAAGAAATCTATAATATTATGACCATAATACAACTTAAAAGAAAAACAATAATGCAATTCATTTGGTATTCCTGTCGTTTTTCCAATACTGCACAGAACAAAAGCATAGAAAATGTTAACAAAAATTTTTCCATTCACTTACTGTTCTACCAGACTTCAGTAGCATAAATTGTCTATATATACTATACACGATCATACTAACAGAAATTAATAAATCAGTATCATAAAATGTTTGCAGGTTTAAAACTTGTGCATTTGAGTTGTGAGCGCAAATGCTTGAATCAAATGAAATTCAACCTAGTTATGACTCACTTTATGACCATAAGATTATAATAAACAAAATATAAATCACCTACATGAAAAGATCAGAAGCCATCTGCATATGAAATCTTGATTTGTCATTCTTTACTGCCGATGAATCATGCTCTTTTCCAGGAGAAAATTCAATGTTTCCCAAATGTAAAATTGCTGCTAAGACACGAAATATGGCTTCCTGATAATAGGAAGAAGGGATGTCTATTAGTAAATCACTGGCCATCAATAAAACTGTCCATTGAACCACAAAATCATACAGTAAAGCACGAAATACAATGAAAGAAACAGTATTACACCTGATCCTGGTGACTAATGCCAACAATATCCATTGCCCTCCTTGTCTTGAGATATTCTTCTGAGTTGCTTACACCATCTAATTCATAGATTTTACTTTGATTTAGATAGTGGAAGTGACTCGGATGTCCTAACTTATACTTCTCTGCATCCTAAAATGAGGCATCCCAATTATAAACTATAACACTTAATGCTCTGGCCATGATATATGAAAATCATAGCCTACACACGCACAATGCAAACAATCGCACTATGCTGCAGTACTAACCCCACTCCAACCCAACAAAAAAATATAGTATGCCTCAAAGAAATTAAATACCCTTTCAAATGAACACAACTGATAAAAGCAGTGATAATTTCTCTCTGGATCCGTTATCTGCACTACTCGTGATCTTTCCAGTAAGTAAGTTCTAATTGCAGCACCAGATATTCTACCATTTGAATCAAACTGAATTTCAACAAACTTCCCAAAACGACTGCAACCAAATAACATAGAGATAATGAGAGGCTATGAGCAATAATATAAATGGAAGAGTACATTACAAATTCAACTCCTTGACTGTAAATATGTTTAGCACAGAAAACAAAAATGATGTCAAAACAACCCAAAATAATAGTTCACTAAATATGTTTCTATTCAAAAGTCTATTTCATTGTTATAAAGCTCAACCACTCCTTTTAGAATTCCCATATCAATACCTCCCCAACACTAATATAACACGTGCAAAACAATTTTAAAAATTTTATTAACTTGGATATTTAACCTCACTTCCATATGGCTGAGAAATTTGAGCCAACATCTCCGATTGAATGGACATTTCAAAACAAAAGTATTATAAATGTAAATAAATATATTCATATACATATTTCTTTAACAATTACGAAAAACCAAATTAAAAAGAATATAAAATGTTAAAATATGGTGAAAAATGGAGGTCCTCTATTTTTTCAATTTCAGGCTTTAAATGACAGAAAAAAATACAAAACTAAGAAAACTATTTCAGGATAGGTGAACATAACTTTATTCAAAGTATATAATTCATCTTGTTTGGGGCTCTTTTCTTTGCAAAAAACATATAAAGTGCTTATGTTGTAATTTGGGGAAGTTCTATCGGTAATTGATGCTCCCATACAAGGAGAAGGACACCAACACTGATAAACATATACAGGATTCAAGAGTGGTGTTTTCAATGGCACCCTACGGCGATGAGACAAAAATCCTCCTTTCACATATGGAGGATGGCATGGCAGCATATGGAAGACAAAATAAAAATTACATTCACTAAAAAAAGCAGAAAACAATAAAAAATAAAAGTATGAACAATATATGGATTAATTCAAAAAAAATATCATGTCACCTATTAAAAATATCAAAAACTATTAACAACCTCATTTTCATCAAGTTCAAGAGTTCAAAGAAATTAAAAACCAGAATGAAAAAGCAGCAAAGCAATTATAACATAGAAATAAACAGAATAAAAAATAATTAAAAAATAGAACTGAAAAAAAGTTGGAATTCTAAATATTAAGTAGAAATAGAATAATTATAATTTAGCAAAAGCATTAGAAAAAGAAGTATATATGTTAAAAATATATTAAAAAACAGAATTGAAAATAAATAATTAAAGAAAACAAAAAATAATAATTCAATAGAGCAGAAAAATAACTAACAGAATTAGAGAAAACCAAAAATAATAATTAAAAAGTAAAAAAAAAATAACTTTATAAAATTATACGAAACAAAAAACAAAAAAGCGAAGAAAAATTTGTTCAATGGCAAAAGTAGGACAGTGGTTGTAGAAGGTTGGAAATCACCAAAGTGTGGGAGGTTGGATGCTTGGAGGAGACGTAGGCATCATGACTCGTGAGTGAGAAATGTATCGTGACTTTCTGCTTCTTTTATGGTTTTAAACCCTTTTCCGAACCACGTGGTCTAATTCCTTCTGTCTAGTTTTTGGCCGTTTTTGAAAAAGCATGACCACCATTCCTCGTGTTACCAACATAGCCATCATTAAATAATACTGCAGAGAGGAGGATCTTCTGAAATATGATTATATGAGGCAGCTGTGGTGAATGATACTGAATAGGAATAGGAATAGGACTTGAACACAAACTCAAGATAAGGAAATGGAGACAGAAGGGAATAAACTCAAGGAAAGAAATATCAACAAAAATTTGATATGATGAAGAGTCAGCAGCATTTATGACCCCTTTGACGTAGAGTATAACCTAGGAAAACCATTCATGAGTGCAGGCTGAAAGTAAGCATAGCCAAGAACTAGATTATGGATAAACATGGACCCAAAGACGTGAAGGGGTAAAAAATGAAAACATAGAGAGGACACGATTGAATGAGGTAATTGGTTGACAAAACATTAGGGAAGGCACCCAATTGATAAGATAACATGACATGAGTACAAATCCAGAGCTAAAGAGGAAAACTACCATGAAGTAGGAGAGTTGAGTTATTTCAACAAATGTTGTCAAAAAAACTGTTAACGTGATGTCATACCAGTATGGCATTGAAGTTTTGACTTCCATTATCATCTGCTATATGAAGCTTTTTGGCATTGGTTATCACAGTTCCTGACATGCCACTGCAGTTTACAGCATCCATGGCAGAAATTCATAGGGTTTGATGTTTTGTTTTACAAAATCCGATTTAGGGTTAGATCTTGGCCCATTTTAGAAAACATTATTTAGAACTCCCTTTCTGACAATATTCAAAGTCCGCGCTTCCTATCTCTCATAACTCTGGTAAATCGTGAAAAAGAGACGAAACCTAGAATTTATACTTTCCTCTCACCTGCAAACCACTGAAGCTGCTGCCAAGCAAGTCCAACTAGACTTCTCCAGTAACCACCCACGCCAGAAACCTTAACCACAGCGGACTGATCTCTATCAAGATTTTCCAAAAACATTTTCCAGCAACCAATAAATATTGTTTTTGTTCTTCCTTAAACTTCTTTCTTTGCCATTCTTTGTCTGTTCTTTATTTCTTCAGATTTCTTTTTCTCCATCACTTGTCTCTCCCTTTTTGCTGTCTATCCATACACTATGTTGCCATTATTGCTCTTCATCTATTAAAAATTTATGGGTGCTGCTCTTTTTTAAAAGTTTCAAAATTATAGTTCTCTTTAAAAAAAAAAAAAAAACTATTCTTATGGTTCTATCTTTTTGTAGGTTTTTTTCTGAACTGTTATGTTTATGGCTTTATGTGATGACATTATGAAACTTCAATTTTAGTTTATGAAAGCTGTTGATATATATCTACGTTATTCTTAATTTATTTTTTTTCTGTTTTTGAACATATTCCTTTTTGTCCACCACAACTTCTGCCATAGGTTGCCACCTCATGTGTATGTTGAATTTTTTACTTATCACCAAAGACAATTATCTTCAACTGATGACCTTAGTTTCAATAAGGTGTGTATTTTTATGAGTTTTAACATAAGACATCCATCCAATTAATAAGATAACATGGATGCCTTTTCACAGGCATTGGCTGCAATACCACAAAATCAAAATATTGTGTTTCTTTACATTAAATTGTACAAGACTACAAGCTATAGGTCCCTATTATACAATACATTCGGTGCATGTTGGATTTAACTTATTTTGGAGAAATAATCACCTTTTACAAAGGGGTTCTAAAAAAGGCAATTCTTCCCAACAAAATAATTTTCCACAAACAAGCACTCGGAGGAATAAAACGAAAAGAAATCCCCTAAAAAACAAATCTGCCAATCAGCCTAATAACTACGTACAGAAAAAGAAAATAGAAATAAAGAAATATTTTCAAAACACTCCCCACTTGATGGGATACTGATTAAAAAGATGCCAGATATCGAACATGTTTTCTTCAACAATTTGTTTCCATAAAATTTCACCCAAGCTAAGGATGCTCAGGAGATATACTATTTGTGAGCCAAGTCCTAAAATCCCACACACTAAACCAATCTTATTTGTTAAATAACCTAGAGTATTGCATAGGTTTAAAGAAAATGCAAGAAAGAGAGTAATTATAAACACAAAAAAGAAAAGAAAATTCACCTCGAATTGTCATTCCTAACAGTTCTTGCATTACCAAACGCCTCTAAAAGTGGATTGGACTGAATCAAGTAAAAACGAAATTAGCATCCCAAATTGATTTAAAAGCAGATGAAACTTAGAAATAAATATCTCTGAATTCATGATTAATTGAGTTCAACAATTGTTTACTTCAAGAACTTGTTGTTCAACTGTTCTATCATCACCAGCAGCACGTCCACCAACAAAGGTAAGATACTGCATGATCAATTTTGTTGTCTCAGTTTTTCCAGCACCACTTTCGCCGCTAACCAAGATAGATTGACTTTTACCTTCATTCATCATTGCTCTAAATCATGACCAACAAAATCTCACGAATTTACAACATAAATTGGCAAGTAGCAAATAGGGTAAAATTTGCAAATTTTACAACCAAACACACCAAATGCACCCTCACCTGTATGATGCATCAGCGACAGCAAAAACATGTGGGCTAAGCTCACCCAATGGAGCTCCCTTATATTGCTCCATCATATGGGAATCATATAAATGTGGAAGCTTTGTGAACGGATTAACGGCTATTAAAATGCTGCCTGTATATGTCTAACAAAGAAAAACAAGTCAGGAAAAAAGCACAAAATAACAGTCCACAAACATCAAAATGGTTCACAGTTAATATTAGCAACTGTGAATGCATTAAAATCAAAAAAGTACATTCACTGAAATCCCCTGCAGTTAATTTATATTAGTTAATAGATTTGAAATTGATTATTCTAGTACGTGATCATTAAACAGTGCACTCCTCAACCTCATAAACAAAAGCAATAATGTATTATGAAAAATATCAAAACAGTATATACTATGGGTATGTCTAAATATCCTTCTTATTATTTGGCAAGAAGAACATTATTAATACAATTCTACACTATTCAGTGATCAGTTTCTCAACCAAAATTTCTAATAAATTTTGGAAATTGTTTCCAAAACAAGTATTTTAAAAGCCGGAAAACCAAAAAGTTTGGAGATGTTTCATCTTTCCATTCTTCTGTTTTGCTGTCCAAGTTTAAGGGTGTGTATCATCTGTGGCGGACTTGGTGAGGGTGGAACCTAGTCCAGAGTTGGGTTGTGCTGTGCTGGATTTGCATATATCTATTCATGATTTCAAATACTTTAAAAAAACATGAAAATCACCCACCTTACATGCTATCACTTGTCATGGAATTCAGTGTCATGGAATATGTTTAATTAACCTCAGCTACGCGTTTTACACTCATACACACGTCAAGTTGTCCGGAATTGATTTTACGTGTAAGCCAAACAATCAAGTAACCATACTCGAGAAATTCAAAGCTACTAAAACTAAAAACAATACTTCCGTATGAGCACTCCACTTTCCAATAATAAGAATATCTATCAGTCAAAGCCTAAACGTCTAGTCAACGGCAATTCAACATCAACCGACTATCCAAAAGCAAACACTCACATAGATATCATTGAACGCGTATCTTCTTCGAAGATTGAACATAACTCCAGGCTCGTTCAGGTACGCCAACCGCGTCATGTCTTCGAATCCACCATGCTCCTCTTCGTCAGCATCCCTCGGGAACAGTTTCTCCTTGGAAGCAAACACCTGCACAGAAAACCTCCTCAAATTACCAAAATCATCACCAATTCAAATTCGCAACATCGCGTGAACTCGCTCACCTTCTTGCCGGAATCAGTTAGTAGCAGAATCTTGTTACCGTCGGAATCGAGCACTTCAGCTGGCAGCCAGGCAGAATCCCGGTCCTCGACCCAAACCTTGGAGCCGTGGAGCAGATTCATGGCGTTGGTCACCGCGAATTGCAAAAGGAAGAGGATATTCAAAACCCTAGGAGCAGAGATACATGCAGCGAAAGGAGATAGGGCGAGAGAGACGCAAGAGGTAAAAATGTCGTGTTCCCGCTCGAAGAAGAGCGGAGGCTGTTGAAGTCAAAAATCAAAAATCAAAAATGGGAACCGGCAGATTGTGTATTTATATAGCGGTAGGTACGACACGTCATCTAGTGTGCGTGGTGTGAGAAAGTTCGTTTTCGACTATTCACTCTCGTTTCAACTTTCCTTGCCTGCTCTAACATTAAGGTTCAAAATTTATTGCAGTCGCGTTTCAGGCCAAGATTTCAAAAAAGAACAAACACAAATCGGTAAAAATTATAGCTTAAATTCCTTACGAACGTTACTAAATGTTTTTAAAAACATTAAGTACATTCTTTTAAGTATAATATTTTGTAAAATTGGTAATATATGTTTTCTAAAACATAAAGTATAAACATTTTTTATAAGTATGAAGTATAATATCAAAACTTTTAAAATATATTATACTAAAATATAAAGACTATTTTATATACTAATAATTATTATATAAAATGATTTTTAATTTAGTTAATACAGTTTATTATTTCTGTTTTTAAATTTAATTGTTATTTAATAATATTTTGTAACGTTATCATGTTTCATAAATATTATTCTCATAATTTTATTGTTATTCAAATTTATATTGATATTACTATTCAATTATGATTTTAAGGTGTTAAATTTTTTTTTAGACAAAATCGTTCTCGTAGTTCTTGTTTTTTAATACAAGTGATTCGGAAATTTTCACTTAGTCATTGTATTAAAGTGAATATTGATAATGTAACAGAAGATTGTCAAGATTTGGTTACTTGTGATGATATTTTTAGAGATAGCAAAGAGGAAGATGTCGACCTATAATTTTTATGCCAAACTTATGAGAATTATATATGTTATTCAGTGTGTTGGAATGAGAGATTCTCACATCTTTTATTAGAATGTGATTTAGTTTTGATGTGCAAATTTTTTTCTTCTCAAAATATAATTTCTAGAGATAGATGGAAAAATTGTTTAAGTCTTTATAGAAGAGATATAGAGTTTAGAGTTTTATATATTAAAAAAAAGAAATTATTGTGCTAATAAATTGACTAATGTTTGACAAATAAAAGATATTTTAAATAGGATTATGTTTTATCCTCTATTATTAATTTTGTTTTTTTTATAATAGATATCAACTACCAATGCATATCAATGCATATATAGGAGGGTTTAGTCTTAGTTAAAAACTCGTGGTGCATTCTTTGTGAATGGGTTTAATTTGGCCCATGATGGTAGAAGTACTAATAAAGAATAAAAAAAACAAAAACAAAATTTTTATTTTAAAATCTTCTAGACTCAATCAAAAATTTACTAAGACAAAACTCAAAAGTTTAAAATCATTCTTTTTTAAATAATTCATGATTAATTAGAAAAAACAATCATAAGCTAACTTAAATAAAAGGGATGATGTCATGTCTAGCTTTCATGCAAAGCGATGTCATCATTTATTATCAAGCATAACTCTAAAATGAATTTGAAATTGCAACAAGAAACCACTTACCACATCCAAAACATACAACATAATATATTCAATAACTTTCAGAAATAAACATATAAAGATATTAATTGTGAAACTATATATTAATGGATGAGTCACAGTGGATAGAATATTAGACTTAACAAACAACAAAAGTCTGAGTTAACCTTACAAAATTAGTTTATAATGTGAGGTCACTCATTTATATACTTTAAATGTGTCTTATTTCTAGTCGATATGAGACTTCAAACACAAAACACAAATTCATCATTTACCCCTCCCAAAGCTATTATAACATTGTACTTTATGATGCACTAATTCTACAATTTGTGTTACGTATCTATGACCAACATGTATCTGTATATGATATTTTAAGATAATTTATCAAAACTTATTATACTACACATGTATGAGCAAACATTGGTAATCTTAGCATAAGTAATGTGTATGACTGAATACATCTCAGTCACCTAGACCATCATGTATTTAGTCCAAATATATTCAACCAAAAGGAGACCATCTCTCTCATACTATTGATACTAGTAAAATATGATAAGAATAAAGGGTTAAAACAAGATTAAAAAACCCTAAACCCTAAAACAAGTATGGGTCCATAAACAATAGTACAAATAACACCTTTTATGAGGTATAATGATTGTATTCATTAATTACAACATTTATTACTATATGCACTTGGCTAACTTTAGCGTTAGAGTGTCTTTTGTAGGAAAAACTCTCATTCAACTTGGAAAAAACGAGTATCCTAAAGAAGATGAGTACCTAAACATCTCAGCCTAAAGTGTCAAGTTAGAACTCGGAGTGCTTGGAGTTGAAGTCTTTGCAGAGTATATTCGACTCTGTGAGAATACTTATCAATGGAGTATCAAATATATAAACTAGTAATATGTTTATGACGACAAAAGTTTATAAATTTTCATGTTGAAAATATTTAATACATTTTATTTTAATTTCGATTCACACAATAGTAACCATATACTTATCATGTTTTTAGGAGTTTTTCTACATTTTTCAATATGCATATATTATGTATCTTATCTTATTATTTTCAAAAAAGGTGTATCGGCGTATCCGATATACAATTGTATTTGTGCCTCGACAAGACTAATTTACACTAAAACCTCATACCTTGTTTTCCCCATCATCCCTCACCCTCTTACAAAGGGTAATATAAGAGAAGCAAAATTTCCTCCTCTAATAGTTTCCATCCGTAATAGTTTTTTTAGCTTCTCCGTTGTAGTAAAAGAAGAAAAAGAAAAAGACAATGCATAGGAAAGGGAACAAATATATGTACTTGATTAAATGTTTTCCCTCTCTTTGCAATGCCTTGACATCTACTTTCGAGCACATATGTTATGTTCACTCTAAACTCATGTTGAAAACACTCATTGTCCAATGATAAATTTGTAACTTGAGTTCAAAGTGCACATAGTAATGTTCATAAGTGAATGTCAAAGGCGTTGCAAGATAGTGGATAAAACTAATCAAGTAGACACATGTGAACTTGATATGTATTCTTATCGGATAAGATATTAAAATGTCCAATTTCTCATTATTAGGACTTTTCATTGTTAAAATGCAATTGACTTTTCTATTTTAAAATATAACAATCTCAGACACTGATCACATGCAAGAAGGGTATTCTATCAATCTTAGACACATTCATGGTCTTACTTTCCCCAATCTTAACTAATAAGAACTCAAACAATGAGTTCTTAGTATGAAAGTATGAAGACGTGCAAGTTACTAACACATTCAAGCATTGGAGACAAATGCATGAAAACTTCAAATGGACATCTTAGAATATGATTAAGCATTTTGATGAATGCAAATTTATGCCCTTATTTATCCTTATGTTGTGTTCACTTGGATGAGATGATTTGAGAGAGAGTGAGTGGATGGATTTGAGGGTAAATTTTTGTTGTTTATTTGAGTGGATTTTGAGGTAAATGAGAGTGGATTTGCAAGTAGAGTTTGTGAGAATTAGTGTAAGATTTGATTGATGTGATAGATAAAAAAATTTGTTTAATTGGTAAAAATTGAAGATTACCAAAGTACCCCTAGTTATAAAAGTAATATAAAATGATAATTGTTAATGTTATATTTAATTGTAAAAATATTTATAAAGAAAATAAAATAAAATTAATTTTAAAAATATAAAATAATTATAATTTAGTAAATTGAAATTATTTTTTTTAGTAAATTGTAATTTAGTAAATGTAAAAATATTCATCATTACCACAACCACATGTATACGTATTCATTCTCTTCCGCCACCTCAATTCTTCATTTCAACACATGTCAACCTCTGCATATGGTGTCATCCTATGGCCAAATCTCCATGCATGTTCTAAGGACCACACCCTAACATCCCTCACTTCATCATCATCCATCAGGAGTACTACTACAATATTCTATCCAGTACACCATGGCCACGAAAAAGTGGAATCGAATACAAAGGATCCATAACCGAATACAAAACTAGTGTTCTATTTCGAATGACGGGAACCGAATACAAAAAGCTGAGAACCAAATACAAGGCTATGTTATTTTTCTTTAATGCACTAGAACCAGATACATCAAATCTGGAATCGGATACTCGACCCTCAGAAGGGAAACATGACATTGCAAACCAATTCACTCCAAATCTCATGGTATCAGCGAGTGATAAAAAAGACACATATCCCCAAATCAGCGCAATTACTTCTTCGCATATCCATAGAAACGAACACACTTAGTCTCGCAAATCTTCGCTCCTATTCTCTTGTGAACAGTAAATCAGCTGAAGTGAACAAAGCATTGATCTTAGGCTTTTAATTGGTTTTTGTGCTTTTAGAATTTTTTAATTAAGATTTTTTATATTTAGGTTTATTGAGCATGAGATACAAAAATATTTAAAAATAATTTTTCAATTGCATAAATGTTTTTTTGATATTTTGAGGCATAAGTCGAGTTCATGGAGGTGTTAAAATAAATTGATTAAAGATTCATGACACCTTAAATCTAAATTCAAGAATAAAAATAATCAAAAAAAAAAAAAAACTTCAAAACCAAACATTACATGAAGAAGGCAAGAAAAACACGAAAAAGTGAAGAAATTTTGGCTAAGTGGGAATAGGGAAGCGTAACAAAATTAGACCATGTAGTTTTCTTTTTTCTTTTCAAAAAAATGTTTTGATGATTAAAAAATATGTATGATGAAAGATAATTTAACGAAAATATATATTTATATATTTTAGTTGATATTTTAAAATAATGATCTTATTTAATTATATAAGTAAATATAAAAAAGTATTATTTACCAAATCTTATTTAATATGGCAAGATATTCTTAAATCTTTTTAATATCCATAACAACCAAATATATCCTCAAGAAAATGAGTTATTTAGAAGATAATTGCAGAAGATTACATTATCATAAAGATTTCATCAACAGAAATACCAGATCAAAGCTCAATCAAATTCTATAAAGGGAGACCTGGGAGGAACACCTGAATGGAGCTTATGAACCCTTTGAGGGACCTAATTTCGTTATCTCCCTCATCTTTCATCTTCTTCACCCTATCTTCTTATATTTTTATATTATTTCTACATTTCATGGAATGATAAGCCTTTGAAGTTCATTTTGCTCTAATTTGTTAATTGGATTATGAAACTAAATGAGATTTATATTTATTTAAATCTTTTGTCTCTTAATCAAGTAAAATAAACAATTGATT